AAAGCAGCTTAACTGTCTGAGCTGCAGCAAAGAACAGGTAGGCTTCTTTTTTCCGCTCTACACACAGCTGTGCAGATGTCACCCTGCTGCTCCATTTAGGATTATGCTGAAGGAGCCTTTTGTTAGTCTGTTACATAAGCCTCCTTCACTGTTAGTAAGCCAGATCAAGCATGAATCTCCCCAGAGGAACACTGAAGAACATTGGAATAATGACCCAAACAGGGTTGGATCTTAGAATAGACCAGCAAAGTTACCTCTTTTGGTTGGAAACTTGCATTTTTTCTATGTTTACGTTTAATTACCAAAGACTCTTTGCAAATTGGAAGACAGTATTGCATTTTTAGCTCCTATTAATTTGATATCCTGCTTTATAACCTGCTGCGGTCTCGTGAAAGCACAAAATCGAATTAGTTGGTGGACTTTTCCTTTGTTTTGCTGCAGAATGCCATGATGACATTCGAGGAGGAGAAGATGCAGATGGCCTGTGATGACCTGAGGACCACTGAGAAACTCTGTGAGAGTGACAGCGCTGGAGTGTTAGAGACACTCCGAAACAAGATAAAAAAGAGCGTAAGTAAACACTCACGCGGAAGTAGGGTTCTGAATAAACTGTTTAGAGAACCTTAAAGCAGAAATACAATCAGTAGAAAAGCATAAAGCCAATTAGGAGATTTTGTTGGAATCCTGATACTTCTTATATCTTCTAGCATTTCAGCAGGAACACACATTTAGATAACGATGTTAAAACCCCTCAGCAGTAGGTGTGATCATCCCGATTGCAGTGAGATCATGCCGAACCAGCGGTCAAATTCAATTACAACGTTGCTGAAATTTGATCTAAAACTGGAAGAGAAGCCACCAGGCTGCCTAGCATCTTCAGGTTTTATTGATAAAGTCTGTTTTTTTCACTACCTATCCCACTGCTATCAGATCGACGTAGCAACATCATCCAAACGGATGCGGCTTACTGTACACGTGTGCTTGTTTGTGTGGGTTACAGATGGACTCCCAAATGTCAGGCGTTGCTGTTGTGGACCGCCTCCAGAGACAGATCATTGTTGCTGACTGCCAAGTGTATCTAGCTGTTCTGTCTTTTGTCAAACAGGAGCTCTCAGGTAATTGCCTTTTGATAGTGTTGATAAATACACTATTTCAAGCATTATTTCACTTTGGCTATTACTCCTGATCCTCCTTTTGTTTTTGACTTATGACATAAATGCACAAAAAAATGCTTTTCTTTTGTATTGGCTTGTCTTTAGGAATGGAAAGAACTTTAATCTTTCTTTTAATTTGACAATTTTAGTTAATATATTATCTCTAATTACATATATTGAGTGTAAACATGCAAAGTTTATCAGTTAATTACACATCTTAGTCAAATCAAGTTATTATTATAATACAGAAAATAAAAAAATACTTAATTAACTTATAAAACTACAGTTTATTGTAGTTCTCAAATATTATTTTTTTTTTTTATCTCAAAGGGTTATATAAATAAAATATTTTATTGCTGAAATCCTTAAAAACAAATTGAGTCCCATGATTTAACTATCCACTCTTTTACTCTAAAATACCCAGCAACCCCCTCTCTCTAAACCATCTCTTTGGTCACATTGCTGATATAAAATAACATTTAACTTTGTTGGGAAAACGTGTACAAGAAGCAGGATAAATATAAAGTCCAATTTGCACAAAATAGTTAGAATGACCAATTTATGATGCTGCCCTGATACACAGATTCAGTGTGTTTTGGATAAACAGTTAAAAGGCTAAAGGTTAAAATGCCTCAGAAAATAGGACCCAGAATTCAGGCAAGACAGACAGTGGAATACTTAAAAAGAGTTTATTCAAACAAGGACAGATCAGATCTGCAGTGGCAGTGCCAGCAGCGGCTAGGGCGTCTATAACAGGAACGTCTACAGGAAAAAAAAACACAGGTTAGTGACTAAGATAATCTGATAGAGGATGATTATTAACACGTGAGTCACTAACCTGATTTGGCAGTTCAGTCCGTGCCCAGAGAACAAGGATTGTTCCAGCCGGTCAGCTGACAACGAAGCAAACGCTGCCAGAAAGTTCCAGACGTGGAAGCCTAGAAGGCTGCAGAAGCTGACAGGAAATCAGATCCATGCTGACGAAGGAAGGCAGGATGATCCACAGGGAGAAGTCAAGACGCAGATCCAGGTTCAGTCAACAGAAGAATTAAACAGGAGTCTGAAGACTGTCCAGGCAAACAGTTCAGACAGGGGCAGGCAGGCTCAAAGGTCCAAATACAGAAACGGATCAGGATCAGCAAATCAGCACACTATAGAAAGCTAGAGAACTTCCTACACCAAAGGGTCACATTTAATCTGGCACGGATGGCTGGGAACAAGGAAATTAAATAGAAGCAGGAGCAGGTGGATCAGATGAGCAGTGATGAGAAACAGGGCAGAGCTAGACAGGTGAAAAAAATTGAGCAATCAAGCCAGCCATCAGCTCCAAAATCATGACAGAGCCGTCTATTGCAATAATATCATAAACTCATATTTTTTAATTGACTGACTAGTCTAGAAATATGACTGCCTCCTCTGCGTAAGAAGTTAATTTCAAGCATTCAGAAGCCTGAGGTGAGTGATTTTCCACTAGAGCAGACATGCTGCATAACTACATCATCTTTTCATGGTTACGGAGTTAGCACATTGTTTGCATATATCTCTGCTGCAACATGCCTGTGTGAAGCTTACTGTATGCAACGTCTCTAGAGCTGCAACACGATTTTTAACATCCAGAACAATTGGCACCCTGACTTCAATCTATGCATACTACTCTATCAGATTATTTTTTTTTTGTCTTAAAGCAATATATTATTTCTGTATGTGCCAAAGCAATTGAAGTTAGATGCAGAGTAGGAGGATATAACAGATGTTAATTTTATTACAACCCTTTAGCTTTGTTCCCTAGTTTCAAATCATGCTCAACATTCTGTGTAAGGCATGCATTGGTAACAAAGTTCTTAGAAGCATTTAGAAAGCTGCTTCAATGCAGTTTAAAATGTTGTTAGGCATTATTCTCATGTGAAAAGGAAAAGGTTATATGCATGATTGGTTGCAAATTTGTTACCAAATGGAAGCTGGTCAAATTACTGTAAAAGTTAAAAGGATATCTGCTGGTTCTGCAACTCCAACAAAGGGGGTTACAAAAATAATTTAGTTCAAAACCATAAGGCTCCTCAAATGTATGTTGCAGCAAAACACACACACACAAAAAAAACTTTTGTTTTATATCCACAAGGACTCAGTAAAAATAAAGCTGAATGTTATTAGAATAAAAAAAAACGGCAAATGTTTCATGTTTTGCTGCACCACAAACAAAAAGGCACAGCAAATCCATGTGGAGGGGTGTTTGCAGTTCAACCATAATGTTATACAGACATGTGGAAGAAGCTTGATCTGGTTGCTTGAGACCAGAATTTAACTTAATGGTCCACAGGCTACTGCTAGGTATGAACAATCCCCATATTCAAACATGGTGGAGGCTGCATCATGCTGTGGGGATACTTTTACCAAGCAGGGACAGGGAAGTTGGTCTTTTAACAGTGAAAACAGAGATCCAGTGTAAGATTAGCTTTTATTGCTTCTTAAAATAAAATAAAATCTTTCAAAAGATTTATCTTTCTTTGTTTTTGTCTTTCCTTAGATTTTGTTCTCTTCATTTGTTTTAGCTTCCTTAGCTTTAATTTATGGAATGTGTCTCATCATTCTTTTTACATTTGGTTTAATTTAGTTTCCATGAACTTCCACAGTCAATTTTAAGCTAGATTTTCACAGTTCTTGATGGTTACACATAAAACACTGGAATATCCTCAGTAAACGTTCGCAGCAACGATGTGAGTCATCGTGCTCCAGCAGCTCAGAACAAACACCTTCTATCAACAGGAAGGAGGAGGATTCATTGATTTTTAAAAACAAGACTCAGAGCCACCATAGTGGTTGCTCTTGTTGGAATAAGTGACACCTAAGTTCACTGAAATAAACAATCTTAATAATCCAAACAGCACCTGGCTGATGTTTTATTACTAACATGTCCAGTAACGTTTCCTTGCTAATTCTTTGCCTTATTTTTCCCAAACAGCCTATATAAAAGGAGGCTGGATTCTCCGTAAGGCTTGGAAGATGTACAATAAATGCCACAGTGACATCAGTCAGCTGCAGGAGACCTGTCAGCGGAGGCCCTCAGGTAACCAGCAGTCCCTCACAGCTGACAACGCCAACCACAACGTGGAGAGCGGCGTGACGGCTGAAGCCCTGGACCGACTCAAAGGCTCGGTCAGCTTCGGCTATGGCCTATTCCACCTGTGCATCTCCATGGTACCTCCACACCTGCTGAAGATTATCAACCTGCTGGGTTTCCCTGGTGACCGTCTCCAGGGCCTGTCCTCTCTCATGTATGCGAGTGAGAGTAAGGACATGAAGGCACCGCTTGCTACGTGAGTAGACTTAAATCTATTTCGGAAAGAAAATGTCTTATCAGATTGATTCTACCACTTCATTGTTTCCCTGAACAGTTTGTCATTTTTTTATGTAACAGCAGATATAAAATGAGAAAGTGACTTCAGCTTTTTAGCTCTTTTAGTTACAAGTTTGGTCATTCACATCTTCACACCTTAGTTGCATCATCATTACACAAATCTTGTCCTGTCATCACACTGCCTGTTTATAAATCATAGCCCTTCTCTGTCCTCCAGAGGAAAGTGAAGAGAATAAAATCTGTATAACTCAATATGAAAAAGAGAAATTACGAGAAAAAAAATGTAAAATTTAAAATTTATGTAAAAAAAATACATTAAATTAAAAAAATAAAAATACAATTTGAAAAAAATTGATATCTTTTATTTCTTGAATGTTTTTAAATGTCCATTTACAAAATGTGTTCTTTTTTGTGGCATCAATAAAGAAAGATTTTTGTTTTTGTTTTTCTAGAAATGCTTAGAAATAGCTTTGGAAGCCTTTTCAGACTGACTCCTGCTAATAGATTGTTTCTCATCTGTCTGAATTTCTTTCGATTCTACAGGTCGGGTATTAACCAGGCTGGGTTGTTGCTAATATGTAAACAATCACAGTCAGAATATGATGAAATGTTTTGTTTGTGCAGCTTTATTCATAAATGATAAAATAATTTAAAAACATCCTTTTTAAAATGTCCTCAGATTATCTTTGTCTGACATTCATATTGATTTACTTAAAAAAAACACACAAGCGTCTTATTACATTTCTACACCCCTCTGTAATGAAAGCCACCATTTCTCAAAGTAAAAAAAATAAATTATTAAAGCATTATGAAATAAACATGAATGCAAGTAAGATTTTATACCTATTTAGTTCATTACTCTGCCCATTAATACAAATTATTTTAGTGTCCTTTTTTTATAAAGTCATCTTTGCATGATCCAAGTCAGCAGGTTTGTGTCATGAATGGTTTAAGCAATCTGACACACATGCAGAGAACCACTCAGAGACCAAGGGAAAAAGTTTAACAGGTTTATTAAATGTAGATGAATAACAGAAGTTGGATCTGAAACTCAGTGGACTGGTGAACCTGAACTGGAAAGTTTGAAGGTGAGATCACAGTGATCAGTTCAGGGACCGTAGAAAATTTGACTGAAGCTTGAATATTACTGGAGAGGGACTCACGTTTAAGGGGGCTCTTGTCAATACTTGAATCCAGCTTGTGGGGGTTAATCCAGAGAAGAGGGAACTCCTTGGAGGGCTGACAGATAGATAAGCGTTGGACCCAGAGGAGTAAAGGAGCAGACTGTCACTTGGATTTCCGAGGAGGACTTGAACGGATCATGTGGAGGTTTACCCCTGCTCAGTGTGTACTCAGTTAATCCTTCCAGGGGGAGAAGGTCCAGGTATCCAGTTACTCAGGAAGGCTTCCTGCCGAAGACCAAAACTAGACAAAAACTAGATAAGACTGAGAGAAACAAAGCTAAGGTTAGACTCTGCTAATCTCAGCTTGGCTAGAGTACCCAAAACTGGCAAACACTCTGGCGTCGAGGTAGTGACAGCCCACTGCTCAAATACTCCTCCAGTAATGATCCAAAGAGCCGCAGGTGTGCAAGGAGGCCCAACAAGGACAGGGCACCACCTGGTGGTGGAGAGAGAAAAAGACCAAAACAACCCACACAAACTGGATTCCTAACAGTTTGACCAGTGACAATACCCAGACTTTTAAACCTGGATGATATCCGTCTCCAGTGACATAATGACGCTGATTGGCCAACAGATTCCTCCTGTTAAAAAGTGACCTTATGAAATTAAAAGGCCATTAGGGAAAATCTAATTACAAAATAAAAGCTGACTTTTAAAAAAAAAGAGACTTTGAAATAAAAGCAGTTGAAAGAAATTCAAATTTTCATTTTACTTGCGTTTATTGTCACATTATGTACTTGTGTTTTATTTATTTAAACTAGTATTTATTTAGCTTATAATGGTGTAATAATTTATTTTATTTCCAACCATTTTTCCGTTCCAAAGTGTAGATTTTAGAGGTTTGAGAGTAATCTTCCTTAAAATGTTGTTGTGTGGCTCAGGTTGGCCCTCCTGTGGTATCACACCGTGGTGCTGCCCTTCTTTGCCCTGGAGGGCTCGGATACTCACGCAGGGCTGCTGGAGGCCAAAGCCATCCTGCAGAGGAAGTCGGTGGTTTACCCCAACTCATCCCTCTTCATGTTCTTCAAGGGACGGGTTCAAAGACTGGAGGTACGTTCTGGAGTGGGTGTAGATGCGATGTGAGCGGCGTAGTTCCATAGCTGCACACATAAGACTCACCGGTTTTGAACAGAAGAAAACAAAACGTGTCATAAAGAAAACAACAGCTTCTGTTCAAGCGCATGAACTCACCGTCATGTGATCTGCCGTCTGAACAGTCTGCGTCTGACATGATTACTGTTTACCTGTGGGTGTGTGGTCTCTCTCCTCTATCCCCAGTGCCATATCAACAGTGCTTTGGCCTGTTTCCATGATGCATTAGAGCTTGCATCAGACCAAAGAGAGCTCCAGCATGTGTGTCTCTATGAGATTGGTACGTGTTTTCTCATCCAGTTAGCCGCTGCACATCGAATGCAGAGGGACTGGAATGATGCCGTCCGCTTTTCTCTGTGGCAGGTTGGTGTAGCATGATAGAGCTGAACTTCGAAGATGCCTTCAGAGCGTTTGAGAGATTAAAAAATGAGTCCCGATGGTCGCAGTGCTACTATGCCTACCTGACTGGAGGTAGGAATGAGGATGGAGAAAAGGAAACATTAGGAAGTGTTTGGAAAGCCTGTTTGATTCCCTTCGTGTTTCCTTTCAGTGTGTCAGGGGGCTTCAGGGGACCTGGATGGAGCAAACGGAGTTTTCAAAGACGTCCAGAAGCTGTTCAAGAGAAAAAACAACCAGATAGAGCAGTTTGCAGTCAAAAGGGTTAGGCATACCTCAGAAACCTTCACATGCTTTTTTTGATTTTAAAAATATTTTGCTGTTTTGCTGCAGGAGTTTGACTCCTTTGTTTTGTCCTTTCTGCAGGCAGACAGACTGAGAAAGGTCTCACCCACCAGACAGCTGTGCATCCTGGGGGTTATCGAAGTTCTTTATCTGTGGAAAGCTCTTCAGAACTGCTCCTCAACTAAACTGCAGATCATGAATCAGGGTCAGTAAAAATCACAAGAGCACCAACTTTTACCTTGAAGAGTCTCGGTAACCACAAATGTGTTTTATTGGGATTTAATGTGACGAACATCAGAGCTTAATTGTGAAATATGTCCACTTATTTTAAATTGATTTTGGTCTGAACTTTGACTAGGTCTTCAAACATAACATTAGTATATTGCTGCGTTCCCACCGAAGATGTTTTGAACGTCAAAAAGGCTTTTAAGACCTCATCTAGAAAGCTTGTCCTCGTTGAATTCAGATTTTCTGGTCTCTTATGTCCAGTGGAAGATGCAATAATGAGAGTGGCTTACTATATTGTCATGATAGGAGAAAAAAGTGGTTTTAAGATGTTTTTCTAAGCATTTTTAGTGGTAAAACTTTCATGTAGTAGAATAAAAAAAAAAATCTGCTATTTGAAACCAGCGAGTAAAACATTTTATGAAGGTATTTAAAAACATCCATTAACAAAATATCAAAGAATTCTCACTTTTCTTTATACATGAAGAAATTACATCCTCTTGTTTTTTCATGTAACCCTAGTAAAGTGTAAAACCTTTAAATACACGGATTACTATTTATTTCCGTTGGTTTTATGTTAACATCTCTGCAAAAAATTAGATTTTCCAACTCAAGTGTCTGACGCTGAATGTCATAATAAATCTCAGCAGCCTTTCCTTAATTTGTAAAATGTTTTCGTTTCTAAACACAGCACAACTTAACAGTACTGTGGAGGATTTTCACTATTTTTTAAAAGACCCACCCTCTTCACTTAAAAAAAATATATACAAGCACCACCCCATACCCGCTCCCAAGAAGGAATGTCTATTAAACGTGTGCGACAGCATGCACAATCCCATTTCTGATACACTTCGTAGACAATTTTTCTCTTACGACCCTCGGCCAATTTCAAAGAAGAAAGGTGAGCTTCAATGACTTCAATGAAACCGTAGCTCACAACATAAACACCTGAAAGTGCGCATGCGCAGAAAAAGATAGCTAACTGGGGTTGAGCATGTTGGACAGACTTACGTAAACATATCACCAGAATGATTGACAATTAGGAGGACCCCTTATTTCGATGATCCACTCGGAAATAAAAGATCGTCCTCTATAACTTTAATTTCTCCATAGCGGTCCCATTTATAACGAGACTAAATCAGATGCTGGTGAACTTTGTTAACAAAATAAGTGATTTCAGGGGATTTCATTGAAGGGTAAAAGTGTAAACTTTGCACTTTATTCCATTTTAATCGTAAAAACATCATAACCTCAGATCCACTCCATCATTTCAATCCATGCAACATATTTTTTTGCCTTATGCACTGAAATTCCAATAAAACACAATAAAGTTTGTGGCTTGAATTGTCTCTTTTAAACCTGCTATCATGCCCTGTGCTTTAAACAGTGCTGCAGAGTTTAGATGAGCCTTCCTGCAGAGGCCTGAAAAATCTCCTCCTCGGTTCGGTCCTTAAATGCCAAGGAAACATCAGAGATGCTGTTCAGGTAGAACCCTACTCTGTTCACACAATTACTCTGGAGTTCACCCTAACCGGAAGTTGTTCTCATCTTGCTTTAATTTTGCCTGTGATTCAGTCGTTCCAGCTGGCTGTGAGGGATGAATACGGACGACACATCAACTCCTACATTCAGCCGTACGCCGTCTATGAGCTTGGGTGTATCCTCCTTGCAAATCCAGAGGTTTGTCATTTTTTATGTTGCATAAAAGCATGAGTTTGTTTACTTGTAAACGTTGTGCTATGAATGTAATTTTCTCCGTTGCTTGGTTCAGACAGTGGCAAAGGGGAGATCGTTCCTACTTCAAGCCAAGGTAAAAAGAAATAGTTGGGATTTCTAATAAGGAATCAAGCAAAAAAAGAAAGCTTTAACATGAATAAATGTTTGTCTCTCTGTAGGAGGACTTTACAGGCTATGACTTTGAAAACCGGCTTCATGTCCGCATCCACTCAGCGCTGGCCTCCTTGAAGGAGGTGGTTCCTCAGTGACTCCAAGAGGGAAGACTTTAATGTCGCACAAAGTTGTAGGCCCGTCACTGGTGATAGCACTCTCTGTGTTTTTCTTCTAAAACGAACCGAGGACACAATTGGCAAACGGTTGTCACATTAGACAGTCTGATAATAAAGTGCTATCTCTGTGCATTTTGTAAAGCAGCAGATCGAGGTGCTCGTTCTTGCACACGGGTAGACAAAGCTCATGTTTGGTGCAGAGATGTGTCCTGAACTCCACCAAGCCGCCCACCAGCAACTGCATCTGGTTGCAAGTGTAAAAAATGCCTCTGATGCTATAGATGCGGTTCCATCGCAAAGTGTGATGTAAATAAAAAGCTTAAAACAGGGCAACCTAACTGCATAAAGAAGATCAGTGCTAGCTACCTTCCTCCTCCCCCGGTTTATCTTAGCCAGTTTGTCGCTTCCTGGACCTTTTTCTGGACTGAATGCACAGAGATTCAGCTGACACACAGTTTTTATTAAATCCACTCCTTGATATTCTTTCAGTGTTTTCTCTCACCGTAATGTATTTGCTGTCCGCTAACATATGTACTCATTAACTTGTGCATTTTAAGGACTTAAATTCTGCTTCTAGCTTAATAAAACAGATTAGCACACAGTAGGACACGTTTTCTTTATAATGTTATAGAAGATGGCCCTTTTTTCCGATTTCTTTAACGATACAACCTTAAAATTGACTTTAATGGGATTTTATGAGTAAATTAAACTTCCGATGTAGAAAGAAAAAAAGAAAAAAAAAACAGAAATATAGGACAAGCATGGATCTTATTTATATTCAGGCTGTATTACCACCCCATGCTCACTGCAAAAAGTGATTTAAAAATAAGTAAAAATGATATAAAATGTGTTTGTTTCTAATTTGAGCTGCTTTTGCCTTTAAAAGAGATGGTTATATATAATGTCCTTGAAATAAGACATGTCTATCTTATTTTAAATGTAAGTTGCTAATTGTTTTAATAACCTGCTCAAAAAATATGGAAAACACACTTTGTTTAAGAAAAAATTGACTTATATTTAAATGTTTGCAGTGTTGCAGTTACAGTAAGAGATCAGTTATGATAAGAAAAACTTTGCCCCCCCCCCACTCTACCTTTAAAAATAGATCAAACAGGATGAAAAACTTAGCTTTTCAGTTTTCTTCACATTCTTAATCAGACTTAGGTCTGGATTCTGACCAAAGGTAAACCTTACCCCCTTCTATAGTGCTAAATACAAATAGACACCAGTTTGAAGAAAACACAAAGAGATCCCTTCATGTCAGGGGACCAGCCACCACCAACATTAGCCCCTCCTCCCATGCTCTGATTGGCTGGAGTTACAGAAAAAGTGTTAACTTCTATGAGGAACAAAACCCAACAACCTTGCAACTATGTATCAATCTAAGAGTAAGAGTAATTATTCTGAACAGGAAGTGACATAGGCAGACATGTTTGGAGGTGAACAAGTGCCTGAAATAGGAAAGACTTAGACTTGGAAAGACTTAGACAACTTTTATTTTCATTTTGTACAGCTCTCATGATATTTCAGTTTCTTAAAGTGCAGCAGTGATCAGATGTAAACATTGTGGGAGAAAAAGATGGTGTAAAAAAACGCATAGATAGAGTCAGTTTGATACAGAGTCTGTGACATGATTTAGAGGTTTTTTTCAGCATTCAGCAGTCTGATGGAAGTGGGGAAAAAAGCTGTTTTGGAATCTGCTGGACCTGCATCAGATGCTGCAAAGTCTCTTCTCAGAGGGCAGCAGGGAGAACAGTCCATGGTGGGGGTGTGAGGGGTTATTTATGATGTTACGGGCTCGGGACACGCAGCGCTGAGATGAAATGTCTATAATGGAAGGAAGAGGAGCCCTGATGATGATCTTCATTGCTGTTCTCACCACTCTTCTCACCTTCATCCAATCTGCGGCGCTGCAGCCTCCACACCACACAGTGAGTCAGCTGGAATGCTCCCAGGAATTTGGTGCTGCTGACCACCTCTACAGCTGAGCTGTTGATGTGGAGTGGAACGTGGTTAGGCCGGTTTATCCTGAAGTCCAAGATGATCTCCTTGGTCTTCTCCACGTTCAGGATCAGGCTGTTGTCTCTGCACCAGTCTACCAGCTGCTCCACCTCCTCTCTGTAGTCCTGGTCGTTGTCGTCTCTGATGAGGCAGCCGTGAGGGGAGCTTATGCTTAGGGTGATGACATCAGAGGTGTTCTGTCTGATCCAGACTGACTGAGGTCCGTCGGTTATGAAGTCTAGCAGCCAATTGTGGAGGGGTGTATTGAATCACAGCTGTTCAACTTTGCCCATCAGATGCTGTGTGGTGATAGTGTTAAAAGCTGAACTAAAATCCAGGAACAGCATCCGCACGTGAGAGTTCTTCTCCTCCAGGTGTGCCAGGCTCAGGTGGAGAGCAGCAAAGATGGCGTCCTCAGTGGAGCCGTTCCGTCGGTAGGAGAACTGGAAGGGGTCGAATATTGGCGGCAGACTGGAAACGATGTGTTCTTTAACCAGCCTTTCGAAGCACTTAATCATGATTGGAGTCAGTGTGGCAGGCTGGTAATCATTTAGTGTGGTGACCTGGGGCTTCTTTGGGACTGGAATGATGGTGGCAGACTTGAAGCATGCATGCACTATGGATTGGTCCAGCAAGGTGTTAAAAATGTCTGTAAGGACACCAGCCAACTGATCTGCAAACTCCTTATACACTCGCCCAGGTATGTTATCAGGCCCTGGGGCCCTTCCTTGGGTTGACTCTCCTCAGAGTCTTTTATCACTTCAGCTCCGTCCAGGTTTGGTGTCTCCTCACCCTGGTGTGGAGCAGCTTTCACTGCTGGAGTGCTGTTTAGTGCCTCAAAGTTGTTCAGTTCATGTAGGAAGTCAGTGTTTGCTGCATCTACCGAGGGAAGGGTGTGTTGTAGTCTGTGATCAACCTGAATGCCTTTCCACATCCTCCTGGTGTTGCTGTCGTTGTGGAAATGATCCTGGATTTTCTGGCTGTGGTTTTGCTTCGCTGATCTGATGGCATGTTTTATGTTGGCACGCGCTGTTCTCAGAGCCTCTTTATCACCAGACTTGAAAGCTGAGTTCTGTGCTTTTAGCGATTTCCGAACCTCTCCATTTATCCAGGGTGGTTGGTTGGCTCGGGTGGTGATGTTCTTTTTGATGCTGGAGTCCTCAATGCATTGATTAATGTAGGCTGACAGTCTGTTGTGTTCTGTCGCCTATCTCCATGATGTAATTTTCCATGTTGGTAACTCTTCATCTCCTCCTTGAGTTCTTGAAAGTTGTTTTCGTTGTCAGTGTAGGATCTTAATTTTTGAAGGACGGCTTGGAGACCGGCGTTAGCCATCTTGTCAGTTAGCCCTGTCTCCGTGTCCGAGAGGCTAGAGTGGATAGCCAGGCTAGCCGAGATATCTTCGTTCATTTCTTTATTTAGTTGAGGTCCTTCAGGTTTACGGCCCCCCTTTCTTTTGGGTTTAAACATATTGTTTTTCACTTTTCTTGGCTTAACATATCAGGCAGTCTTGTTGTTTTGTCAAGAAAGGATCAGCATGAAATGTTGTAGAGAGAGCCACAGAGTCAACCTGTCGCCATCATGGGCGCTCATCCACAAGTCAATTTTCTAAATCATTTCCATGTGTTAACTTTTTTCTTAAAATTAACTTTTTTTTGTTTCTAAGGAGTGCAGAAACTGGACGAATTTGCCTCATTTTAAAAACAGCATCTATCTATATATAAAAAAAATGTAAACAGCTTTCTGCAAAAAAAAAAAAAAAAAAAAATGTCATCTTAGTTTCCTTTTTCTCAAGGATCCAAATACAACATTTAATTTAGAATAAATTTATAACCTTCTTAAATATATGCAATTGATAAAAGATTTATTGTAATGGGAACAATGTAAAAAAAGCCATAGAATACGGACTTTAAAACTATAATGGGATATAACTACCTATCAAGTGAGAGAAATAGATCAATAGCTAAATTAAAATAAAAAAATTATGAAACGTGTTTGAGCTTTTATCCGTTACATCTCCACAAAAGGACCAATAAAGAGCATTGAATGCCAGGAACCTTAATTACTGAGGGAAGAGTGAAAAGTGGCATCAGGTGGGGATGGGATACATCAGTGGTTCCTAAAGTTTTCTATGACATTTCCTGTTGAAATACATAGGAAAATCTTCCAGAACAGAAGTCACTTTAAGGCTCCTCTGAAAGGAAATAAATAAAGCCTACAGCGGGTAAAGTTAAACGAATAAGATTTCCAAATCAGAACAGGTCACTGGTAGTTAGAGAAAGGGAAGAAAACATATGAGGATAAACAGGGTGAAAAAGAAGAGTGCAAAGAGAGGGAATAAGGAGTGTGCTGAATGGGTGAGCCTGATGATTAAACTGGGGTTGAAGGTTCAGCCTTCCACAAAAACCTCCATTCATTGTAAATGACCTGAAACACTCATTGCATTACCTGCTATATCTAACATAACACTGTGCTCTATGCATAGCACGGCTGAGTGACAGTGGTGTGGTGTACTGAAGTCCAGCATGTTTTTTTTTCCTACAAAAAGCATAAAGTTTCCCCAACATTACACCTTTAGTTCAGTAAAGATGCCTAATCAAAAGTGCTGCTCCCATATTACTATAAGCGCTTTTTATTACTGTTTTAGTGGTTGAAGCATTTGACTTACTTCACAATAACTACTAGTTTATTAATAACAAAAAAATATATGTTTTTTGCAGCGTCTTTTTGCAGCTTTGTAGGGTTTGAATGCCGTTAGTATTAACAGTCAGGCTTAGTTAACAACATTCGTAAAGGATTTTAACAAACTGTTCTAAGTTGTTTACCTGACAATTATTTTCAGTGCGGAGGATTACAGTTTATAGGCAAACACTCCAGTTTGTCATTCAAGCAATATTATCTGTAATAAACATTATTTAGTAAATCGCAAAGACTTCCAACTAGGGGAACTTTTCACTTTATTGTAGATTTACAGGACTTAGATGTCTTTTTTAATTTCTTTTTTTTCTCCACTGTGATCTTTTAAAAACATGGCTTTTCATGCCTCATGCCTGTGATGGATGTAAAGTGTGTAAAAATAAATAAAAGGGAGGCTGCTGTGATAAAAAACATTAAGGTGAAATGTCAATTAAATGTAAACAGTGTACCGAATACCTCTGTCACCAGAAGATTCCCTCTCTGTCAGTGTTGAAACCTGAGGCCAAGAGTTAGGTGTCAATAAACTGCAAAATAAACCGTTCTCCATCTTTATTGTCAACCAGTTGTCTTTTTGTCTCCTTTCTTATTCTGATAGCTATTTTCATGGTGTTTTAAAGGCAATCAAATTATATTATTGTGTCATACCTTCTCCTGATTCCCTGAAAATATGATCTATGTTGGGGTAAGTTTATTTAAAATGCATCACTTAAAGCACAATACAGATATAGAACCTGTGATACAGTTAAGGAATATAAAGTAAAGTTGGAATACAGACCCTCTTATTTATTTGTTTTTAAGGTGAGTGTTTAAATACAGGCAGCTTAAAAAGGGATTCAGCATTTTTCCAGTTTTCTGGGAGTTTAGAGAAAGTCTAGAGAAGTAGATCTAGATTAAGAGATCTGAGTGGTTTTATTTTAGTTCTATGGCATTCAATGATTTATATACTAACAGACATATTTTAAAGTCTCTCCTCTGAGATACAGGGAGCTTGTGTAAAGACTACTTTATTTATTACAGTAAGAAGGTTTTATAACCATCATCGTATGATAAATGCTCTCCTAACCATAATCCACTGACAGTGAGCAGAAAACACACACTGGTTAGATGTTTCACCTATCAGGTGATGTTTATGTAAAATAAGGGAATGGGAGTAGTAAGAGATTAGGTTTTTAAGTTATATTATAACCCTATTTGATTCAATATCAAATAATGCTTTCCAAATCTATTGGTGTTTCTCTAAATCTTCCAACCTTTGGTCTGCCTGTTAACTTTACAGAGTACTCAAAATTATTAGAAGGCTATGTAATTCTATAAAATGATTATATATAATTGGAAGCTGTGGCGTTCACCTCCCTCATTTGCTCCTGCTTAGGAAACCCCCCTCTACCTCAGTTTGGATTGATTCTGTCGTTTTTAATATTGAGAAAATCAGATAATCCAGATGCTGCTTGCCAAGTCGATTTTAAGAAAAAATGGTAACATGTTTTGGATTTTGTCGCACCAACTTACAGAGGCGTAGCCAGAAAATTTCTATAAGGGTGGCCACGCAATAACCAATGTATACTGAGGGGTGGCCAAAAGTGGATAGGGGCCAGAACCTCAGGGTCAATCTACACTGTTCCAACAGGAACAAGCACAACGTCCATATTCCTAAATAAAGACAAACTAAAGTTTCCTACAATCTTTGCTAACAAATAGATGCATATATTTAAACATCCGTCTAGATAAAAGCTATGAGCTTTGAGGTTTGAGTTCTGGAACGAACATCTTTTCCATCGTCAAGACTTGCCTACTTTTATCAATATCATTTTACATTAAATTGATATTTACAACTAATATCTA